GTTGATGACTATGACTGTTGTGAATCTTGAATTGTGAATTGTGAATTTGGATTATGAATGTGAATGTGAATGTGAATGTTGTCTGCTTTCGATAAATCAACCGATCGATCGTCGGCGAGAGAGCATTCATTCACTGATGCGGAACAAATATCCAGGCAGCGAGGTGTGTGTGTGTGTGTGTGTGTGTGTGTGTGCTGTTTGAGGAACGCCAGCACGCGTCATCCGCTCATCCGCTCATCCGCTCATCCTGCCTTGTATGCTCACTCGCACAACTCACAACTCACCACTCACGACTCACGACTGATCAGCCTTGCTACTCACACTACCACCACCTTTACGCCACCGGACAGCGCCAGATTGACAGCCCTTCCGCACACCCCGCCCTCTCCACCTTGGTTCGACATGCCACCCAAAAAGAATGCGAGCGCAGCGCGCAGAGGAGCGCAGGCCCAGATAGCCACGTCCACCTTTGATGAGAAACCGCCGATCAAGTTTGACGATGAGTTAAAGTCTGTCAAGTCCAAAAGAGCTGCCAAACAGGTTCGTACCCCAGCAGTGCAGTGCAACATGTGCAAAGCTGGTCGCATTCAAACGCTGATATCTGCCCGCGCTTTCGCTGTGATTTTTCCCCCCCGCTCCCGCTCGTAGGGCACCTTCCTTGGCGCCTTGACCAGCTTTGGTGTGCGATTGGCGCTATTCTACACGCTCTTTGCGGCTTTGTGGTCTTGCTCAAAGCAGCCCTTCACATTCAAATACAATCCTCGAGACAATTCACAAGTCTGTCGAACATTGGCACAGAGCAAAGCAGCCTTGCAGCCGCACTACCAAGCGGCGTGGAGGGACGTTGAGCCTTGGATCTCTCCTTACGTGCAGCCCGTCGCTCCTTACTACAGAAGCGCGGTCAGATTTAGCAGCCCGCATTTCAAGGCTGTGAACAAGAGGGGTCATCTGCTCTGGAAGGCTCATGGCGAGCCGGCCAGGAAGCGTTTTGTCAAGCAAGCCCACACCTTTGCTGCGCCACACATCAAGACAGCAAGAGGACACTACAAGAAGAGCGTCAAGCCTCACGTAGACAGTCAGTCCTACTCTCTACATCTTTGCAAAGTCTAGTCTTTGCGTTGGCATTGCTGACAATGAATGTCCCCCCTCCTTCGGCCCTTTCAGCGGCCCGGGCCACAATCAAGCCATATCAAGACATATACGCGCGAGATGTGCACCCCTACGTCCTCGAAGCGCAAGTGCTCTCCGCTCGACTCTTTCACCAATCTCTGCGCTCGTATCAGAACGATGTGCATCCTCGTCTGCTCTCCGCACTGGCTGTGACGCACAGAACCTACGTCACCCATGTGGATCCGGCCATCCGGAGGGGCTACAGCGTGTGGGTGCGGCCTCAGGTTGAAAAGGTCCTCGCGAGGCTGTTCCAGCGTAAAGCGCACGCTGTCGGAACAGAAGCTATCGATCAGGCGTCTGTTCGCGCGAAAGATGCCAGGAGCGAAGGACAAGTGAAGGCGAGTCAGGCCGTCGAAGCTGCAGTGAGTCGCAAATTCTTCATCGGGGGGGGTTGAGTCTTCAGTCTTGCCGCTGATCGAGGAGCGCGTCATTGGCGCCGCTCAGCAGGCCTCTGCACGCAGAGCTCAGGAAGACCCGACGATCATGGATCGCTTGAACAAGGCGAAGGACGCCATCTCTGGCAAGAAGCCATCTCATGAAGATCCCATTCAAGCTGCGGCGCTCGACGCAGAGCTGGACGCAGAGCTCGCGACTGTGAAGAAGGAGCTCGAGGTGAGTCGTAAATCAGGGTGGCAGGAGCTGCTCGATCAGGTTTGCTGACCCAAAGACCATGTGCTGCGCTCGTAAGGCTTGGGAAGACGGCATGCTGAAGCTCATCGAAAAAGAGTACGGCCTCGTCACTGAGAGGCTGGCTGAACTGGTGAGTGTCCATGCAGATTCAACGGCAAGCGTGCTGTCGCCGAGCTCACCCATGCGGTTCTACGCTTTTCAAAGCGCAATGGCCGGCTTGCGGATCTCCCTGATAGATTCGCCTCTCTGACAGAGAGCTTTGTTGAAGACGAAGTGGCTACCGCTCTCTCCAAATTGGAGCGCAGCTTCCGCAAGATTTCCAACGACAAGTCCATCGAAAGGGTCGCGGAGCGTGTCGAGAAAGCACGCGCGGAGACAGAGGTGCAGAAAGACAGGCTCTCGGCCAGCCGTGCAGCTTTGGAAGCCTCGCTGAACGCCTATGCGGGCGAGCTGGAAGCGGATGAGGAGTCGAGCATCCACGCGAGCGTTGCTGAAGTTAAGAGATTCTCGGACGAAGCCACAAAGTTCTTTGTCAAGACGATGGAGAAGGCCAAGTTCACCGCTACCGAGGAAGAGTGGGAAGGCTGGGCAAGTGGACTCTCTGTGCGTGCTGAGATGTACGAGGAGGAGCTCGAAGCCGTGAGGATAGGCGAACGCAATGTTCGATCGGGCATCAATGCCACCGATTTGGCAAAGGAACCTCAGGTGAGTTCATCCCTTGTCAAGGCCGTGTAGGGCGACAGCTTAGACAGCAGCGTATGCACAGATCCCTCCTCGCATCGCAGACCTTCACAAGTCTGCCGCTTCTCTCTACGCATCAGCCATCAAGGAGCTCGACCGCTTTGCTTTGTCCGCCGAAGCGCATCTTCGCGGAGAAGGAGTGCAGAGATCCGTCGGAGAAGCAACCGAAGCGGTCGCTGAGCGTGCGCAGCAACTTAGCGAGCAAGCAGCGGCTGCCATGCTAGGCGCTGCAGCCGCCGCACGAGCCCGGCTTGGCTTGGCACCGAAGGATGATGGCATCTTGGCCCGGGTCAGCGCCAAAGCTGGAGAAATGGCCGATGCTGCTGCTTCTCAAGCCGCGGACGCTGCAGAGCAGGTACGAACGGTTGCAAGGAGCGCCGCTTCTGCTGCTGGGGCCACCCCTTCTCCTGAAGGCGTGCGTGAGCATGCGGAGTCCCTCTTTGGAGTGGCGACTGACCAGGCTGCGTATGTTCAGGACGTGGTGGCGGAGAAGGCCGCATCTGCCAGCGCCGAGTACCTTGCGACCAAGAGGGAGCCTTTCGCAGAGAGTCTCTTCAACGCTGCCACTTCCAGCGTGGGCGAAGCCTATGAGAAACTCGCCTCACAGGCCAAAGATGCTACGGCTGCTTTCCAGCCTAGCTCCACGGGATATGCAGAAAGCCTCTTCAATGCAGCGACCTCCAGTGTCAGCGAGGCTTATGAGAGAGCCGCTTCGGCCGCTTTGGAGCCGGAGCAAACTCCTGTCCATCGGCAAGTTTTCGATTCAGCATCTCGAGTAGCAGAAGGCGCAGCTGCTGTCGCTGGCGAATACTTGGCGAACGCAGGCGAGGCAGCGGGTAGCGCACAAGACGCAGCCATCTCTCAATTGCACTCTGCCACGCGGAGCGCAGCTTCTGCAGCGGGCTACAAACCTACTCCTGAGACTCCTGGCGAATATGTAGAGCAGGTATTCGATGGCGCTTCGTCCGTATACGCCGACGCTGTCGATGGAGCTGCCCAGGCCTACTCGAACGCTCAAGAATTTGCGAATCGGGCTGGTGAAGAAGCAATCTCGCGTCTTCATACTGCGAGCCGCAGTGCTGCTTCTGCCGTGGGAGCCACACCAAGCCCAGAGAATGCCGCGGACTATGCCGAGAAGATCTTCGAAGGCGCTTCGAAGGCCTACGAGGACGCTGGAAGCGCTGCTTTCAAGTACTATGCGGATGCGAGTGGAGCTGCAGGAGAGGCGCAAGAGGCTGCCATTTCTGCCCTGCACTCTGCCACCAGAAGTGCTGCGTCTGCTGCCGGCTACAAGCCCACGCCAGAGACCGCTTCGGAGTACGTGGAAAACGCCAAAGACGCTCTCTTTGCTGGAGCGAAAGCTGGCCGCGAGGCTGTTGCAGGCGTTGTGCCTGGATCTGGCAGCGAGCCCAAAGTGCCCGCCGTCGAAGCGAAACAGGTGGATGAGGACTTT